TGTATCTCTGGTCTATGCCCAAGTGCAAACAGATTGAAGCCCAATTGCGAAGTGACCGTATCACTACCTGTGAAATCAGTCATGAAAAATGGAATTCTGAATGATTAATTCGTTTAATTTTTCACCACAAAACATTAATTCATCGCCCGTGCATTTTAGATTCTCGTAATATGATTTCATCATCTAATATCTACATTCCTCGTTTTACTAATACGAGCTCATTCTGATGCAGTAGAACTGTTATTTAAAGTTAATTAGTTGATGTACCTCTGTAGGTTGATACTGTTTAAAGATCAACAGTGTTGGTAATAATCATCGGGCAACTGATATCATTGTCCTTGTTATCAGAACTGTTTTAGGAGGTGAGCTAACCGGTAGACATGAACATATCCACCTGGCACTTGATGTCCTCATCACTCAGATTGTATTCGTCACGTACACTGAACAGCAATTCGAGAAATGGGAGCCGTTTCTTGCCACTTCCCGACACATCTTCTGCTGATGGTTGATTTTTGAATGCCTCCCATTCCTTCTTCTTCTTTTGGAATATCTAATCATAACCGTTGTTATTATCGTTATACTTACTCTAATATTGCTGATATTAATGATTTTATTGAAGTTGCTGATATTCCTCTGATGCGAACACATTACCTTCATAGTAATACTCTTGCACACGTTGCAGACGTTCTCGACCTTTTGATCATAACCATACAGCCAACGTATTGCAGCGAACCAGAACCATGGATAATATGTTTTGGCCCACATCAAATTGAATAGTTTTGCCAGCGATATGGAATATTCAGCGTTTTGACCGCTCTGAGCGTTTAAAGAAACACCCATTGCGGTCTCTTAAACACACAATACACTTTCACTTTATTTTTTGCCGTTCCAGCATATTTTGCATTTTTTCGTCGCCAGTTTATATAATGCAAAGCGTTTTTATTTAATCTGCTAAAAAAATCGCACAAAAAGTTCTCTCAGATGAGGTTGAAATGATATTATGCCTAATATTGCATATGACGTGAGCAGAAGAAACGAAAATTTTGCTCTATTTCTATTGAGAACCCCTGGAGTTGTGAAGTCTACAGTTGTCACGTATCACCGATTCACTAATCTCCAATAATTTCAGCACCTTTCACCTCATCTGATGAACAGATCAAATTTAATATGGAATGATACGATTGTGGATGACTGATCTGAGGAATGTATGTAGCTATTGATCAGTATAGCATATGACATTATCTTATCGAATCATTACCTTATCAACGATAAGATAATGATACGATAACATTATCCCGTCATATCATTGATGAGAATGCAACGAGAACTAGTTAGGTTCTCTGCTTGAAAGAAACCTGCAATGACATCCAGACCAAACAGCCGAAGCATTGGCAGTATATCAAATGTTTCACCAGTACCACAGTGCTTTTCTAACTTTTCCGTTAAAATCTGAATTAAGAAATCACAATTTTTTGGACACATTACGTTTGATTCTAGTAGTCTGTTATAGCGACGTTTTGTCTTCTGAATACGTAGCACCCATTTGGGCAAAAGCGATAGATACTACTCACTTTAGACTGTTCATTGAATCCTTCAATATATTTATTGAGAATATTGAAATGAAATGCTGGTGTTAAGATTCGTCGAAATTTATACCACGTTTCACCTGACCTGCAAGTGAAATTTATTTGCC